GCGATGCTTAGCAAGACGGCTGAATGCTCATCTCAAACCGGCAAGAAGAGAGTTCAGTGACGTCATTGTTCCTTTCTCTCTGAAAATCTGTACGGAGGAGCTTGGGGAAGCTGGAGAGATGACTCAGTGGTTTTGAACATTGGTTGATCTTCCAGAGGTCCTGAGTTCAATTCCCAGCACCCACATGGTGGCTCATAACCATCTGTAATGAGTTCTGACATTCTCTTTTGGCCTGCAGGCATACATGCAGACAGAACACTGTATATATAATAAGGAAATAAGTCTTAAAAAAAGAAAATCTATACAGAATATGATATTTTCTGTGCAATTTAAAGGATTCGTTTATTCATTAAAATCTGGAGAGATGGCTCAGTGTTTAAGAGCCCTTGTTCCTCAAGAGGACTGGAGTTCAATTCCCAGTACCCATAAGGTGGTTCATAGTGGTCTGTAACTCCAGTTCTAGGGATCTAGACATTTTCTTACGGCCTCTGTAGGCCCCAGCTATGTATAGCATACATAAACATGCATGCAGGAAAAATAATACCTACACTCATAAAATAAAATATAAAAAATAAAAATCTTACTCAAACTGGTAGCTGTGAGGACCTCCAAGGAGAGAAGTGTGGTAGACAGAGGGAGGAGTTAGGTAACGGTGGCTGCCCAAGGTTGTCTGTCTCCTTCGGCAGCTGCTGTGCTAACTCTCATTGGAGGGAGTCGAGGTGTCATCTGCAGCTGTCAGGCTCTTTGGAGAATGTGGCGGTCACCATCACCCCACCCACACACTTTCTGTTCTGGGGTGCTGAAGGAAGGGGCCACCATGTAAATAAATGGTACTTTTTTTTGAGTCATCCTTGGGCTGGGCAGAGCCTGGGAAAGGAAAGCTCCTTAGGGTCGCAGACTCAGACTTGGCCCTTGGTCCTGGGTAGTGAGCAGGGCAGATATCAAGAGACAGGGAAGCAGCATGTCTGAAATGGTAACTAAGAAAGCAGCTTTTTGTTTTTGTTTTTGATTTTTCACAAAGAGGGGCTCTGTGCAAGGGGTGACACTTGGGTCCTTTATGTTGGGCAAGCCAGCATCAGGATCAAGGTTTTCCTTCCTCGAAGTTACTTCAGACTGCATCTCCAGTTTTGCTCATGGATTATTCTTTGAAGTTCTTATCTCTGCAGAGAATTGGCCTTGACTGCGTGCTGTGGGAATTCATGGAGTCCTCATGTGTAGAAATGTGTTAACACCACTATGCTCTGGCAGTATCTCCTTTTGTTTGTATCTGTGTGTCTGTCCTTCTGTCCATCTGTCCTTCTATCCACCCACCCATCCAACCATCCATCCATCCATCCATCCATCCATCCATCCATCCATCCATCCATCC